TTACATATAGGCCCCATAGGCTTTGCCCCACAAGCCTCACGCCAGGAAGGGGGCCGCCGGGACGCAGATGGGAAGACGGGTAACCCCCGCTCCCTGACCGAGCCCCAGAGGTCACCAACCCAGTGGGACTCGCAGCCTGCCTTACTTGCTGGGTAAGAGGAGCGTTTGCCCTTCCCCCAGCACCAATAACTGTACGGTTTGCTGCCAGTTAGATTATCTTGGGGAGGCAGACTGGCAAGGCTTGCCTCCCCACAACCACCCATTAACCCAAAGGGGCTCGGAGACAGGAGTTAGAAGCCAACGCATGTCTACAAGCCTGTGGGCCTTGACTCTGTACCTGTAGGGCCTTCTGCTGCTCCGAGAGCCTTCACAGTTCAGCCTAGGACCGCAGGTTTCCATGTGTGACCACGAGGAGGCACTACAAAAGTCTTGATGATGGAGAGGCTATGATCTGGCAGGGGAGTCTTATGCACAGCTACTCCCTTTTCGCACTAGCCTAACCAGCAGTGGCAGCTACACACATATATATATATATATATATATATGTATATATATATATATATATATATATATATATATATATATATATATATATATATATATATATATATATATATATATATATATATACATAATGGAGTGCGTGTGCGCGCTCATGCAGACACTGTTCAAACGTTTGTGCCCGAGTATGAGTGTGTATACATGGTAATGCGCTGATGTATAAAAATTGTGTGTACGTATCTATGTTTCTGTGCACGAAAGAGAATCAATATATACGTAGATATGTGTATATGTGCGTATGCATTCATATGAGTGTATTTATATTAATGCATAAGTATGTGCATGTGTATGTACATATATGTTTCTGTGGAGGTGCGTATATATGTGCATAAGTAGAAGTGTTTGTGTAGGTATATGGATATATGTATGTACATATGTATGGGCAGTCATGTGTGTATGTACATATGTGTGTATGTTGGTGGATATATACATGTGTATGTATGTGGATATATGCATGTGTGTATATGTATATATGTGTATATGTGTGTATATGTGTGCATATATTTGTATATGTATAAAAATGTATAGATGTACATATATGTGTGTATGTGTATATGCACGTATTTATGTGTGTGTGCATGTATGTATATATATTGTATGGATATTCATAGTCATGGGTATGTATATAAGGTATGTGCCCATGAATACGCGTGCATAAGCGTGGGCGAGTACTTACATATGTATGCGCATATGAAGAGCGCGTATGTTTATATAAGTGTATGCATGCGCCTAAGTGTAGTGGTGCATAATGATATGATCCCTTGCATATCATATGCATAAGAGCATTGTAAAGGCGTACGCCTTCATGTGATTGTGCACGAAGTGACCATATGCGTAGTACTTAGGGCATTTGCGGGTGAGCAACTATGTCTGCACCGAGCGCACATACGCACAAATAAAATTAGTGTATAAATTACAACCACACTTATACGCACTTCTGATACTCAAGCCCATACTCACGGGAGTATACCCTGGTGTAATGAGCAGGCCCGTGTGTTACTGGTCATAAGTCCACACTAGACAGGCCCAGCCTTGCTGAAGGGGCTTATCAGTGGCATCCCGGCTAAAATACTCCCCCTCCCACCAAGATACACTTAGGCCAGTAGGCGGGAGGTAACTCGGCTGTCTACCTCACAATCGAAACCCATGACTGCACAAACAGAGCAACGGCCCTCATTCCCCGGAAGCGAAGGAGCCCCTGGTTACGGCGGCGATCAGGATCGCTCCGGAGCAGAGGGTGCTAAGAATCACGGGTCAAGAACAGGCCGCCCCACGTTGATGAACCTTTGCACATATAATATAAGGACAATGAGAACGGAATCCGACTTACTAGCATTACTTGAGGAACTCTCTTTCATTAAATGGGATGTTGTAGGACTCAGTGAGGTTAGAAGACTAGGCGAAGAACAGAAGATACTAAATGATGGACACGTGCTCTATTGGAGAGGTAAACCTCAGGGCAGCAAGCAAGAATTAGGGGTAGGTTTCTTAGTTCACAGACGTTTAGAAAAGAATATCGTAGAATTCCATAGTATAAGCGAAAGAGTGGCTTCAGTAACAATAAAACTTAATACTAGGTACAACTTAAAGATTGTTCAAGTCCATGCTCCAACCTGCAGCCACAGTGATGACGAAATAGAAAGCTTCTATGAAGATGTTCATTTAGCCAGCGAAAGAGTAAAAACCCATTTCACAATAATTATGGGTGACTTCAATGCCAAAATAGGTAAAAAGACAGAAGGAGAAACCGTAGTGGGGAATCACGGAATAGGCACTAGGAATGAGAGGGGACAAATGCTAGTCGACTTTGCGGAGGCTAGATCACTCAATATCATGAATACATTCTTCGAAAAAAGACTAGAGCGGAAGTGGACATGGAAGTCGCCATCGGACATCAAAAACGAAATTGACTTCATAATTTCAAATAGGCGCGATATAGTAAAAAATGTGGAAGTTATTAATAAGGTAAATGTTGGCAGCGACCATAGGTTGGTCAGAGGCCAGATTAAATTACACCTCAGAAGGGAAAGGAATAAACTCATACGAAAACCGCAGACAAACTTAGCTAAATTGAGGACCAAGGCGACAGAATTTAGCATTAACATCCAGAACAGATATTCACTTCTCAGTGATGAGGATCTCAACATTGATCAGATCAACAAACAGTTCAATGACATAATAAAGGAAGCTGCACTTGAAGTAGCCGGTAAGAACGTCAAACAAAGCTCCAGTAAGCTCTCGATGGAAACTAAAGAACTTATGCAAAAACGTAGGGTCATGAAAGCATCGTCAAATAGGGACAAAATAGAATTAGCTGAACTAACAAAAACTATAAATAAAAAGAAGAGAGAAGATGTACGGAAATTCAATACTCAAATAATAAATGAAACCGTGATCTCAGGTACCAGCATGAAAACAGCTAAAAGGAGACTAGGAATAGGGAGAAATCAAATATATGCAATAAGGAAACCAGACGGAGAGGTAACTTATAATAAGAATGAAATCATAAGAGTAGTTGAAAACTTTTACATGGATCTATACAACACAAATGAACAGCCACAAATTGAAGCGAATGCTGTAGCTAGAGTGGTACCTGATATCACAACAGAAGAAATAAAAAGAGCGCTTAAAGGCATGAAGAGAGGGAAAACACCAGGTGAAGACGGTATTAGTATAGACCTTATAATAGACGCGGGAGAAATTGCATCAGTGAAACTAGCCAATCTTTTTAACAAATGCCTTCTCAATAGAAAAATTCCGATAGCCTGGAAAAATGCAACAATTATTTTGATTCATAAAAAGGGGGACAGGAAAGATCTAAAAAACTACCGACCCATAAGTCTCCTTCCAGTTACTTACAAACTGTTCACTAAAATCATCACAACTCGCATCTCTGACAGTCTGGATTCTAACCAGCCTAGAGAACAGGCAGGTTTCCGCAGTGGATTCTCAACAACAGACCACATACACGCACTTACCCAAATAAGAGAAAAAATAAACGAATATAGGAAACCCCTGTGTATGGCATTCATCGATTACGAAAAGGCATTTGACTCTGTACAAATTCCAGCAGTACTAGAAGCTATTCGAAGACAGGGAGTAGAGGAGATATATTGTAAATTATTAGAAGATATATACGAAGATGGGACAGCAACCATCAAGCTCCACACAGAAACCGATAAAATCCCAATTAAGAAAGGTGTTAGACAGGGCGATACCATATCACCAAAATTGTTTACAGCATGCCTTGAGGAAATATTCAAGAAGCTAGAATGGACCGGAAAGGGTATCAAAATTGGAGACGAATACCTAAACAATCTAAGATTTGCAGATGATATTGTTCTCTTCAGTGAATCCGCAAACGAATTGCAGCAACTAATAAATGATTTGAATAGAGAGAGCCTGAAAGTCGGTCTTAGGATGAACAAGAAAAAGACTAAGATCATGTTCAACAGTAGAGTTCAATTCGAAGAGATACATGCTCAAGGCGAAGCACTAGAGGTGGTTGACAAGTATATATACCTAGGGCAACTCGTACAGGCAAACACATCTAGCGAAGAGGAAATTAAGCGACGCATCAGTTTAGGCTGGAGCGCCTTCGGCAGACACAGTTGCATACTAAAAGGCTCCTTGCCATTATGCTTAAAAAGAAAAGTCTTTAACCAATGTATCCTCCCAGTTATGACCTATGGATCAGAAACATGGACTACAACCAAATTACTGGAAAGGAAACTAATAAGTGCCCAGAGAGGGATGGAGAGGTTGATGCTGGGAATTAGTCTAAGAGATCAGATGAGGGCGACGTGGATTAGGGAACAGACAAAAGTGGAAGATATACTCGGGAGCATCAAAAAGAAAAAATGGCAATGGGCAGGTCATATATGTCGGAGACAGGACAACAGATGGACAAGGAAAGTAACAGACTGGGTTATAGATAACATTAGGAGGCCAAGGGCCAGACCTGTGACAAGATGGCGCGATGAAATAACGAAATTTGGGGGCCAAGACTGGGAACAAAAAACGCAAGACAGACATGGATGGAAAAGATTGGGAGAGGCCTACGTCCTGCAGTGGATTGACCCAGGCTGATGATGATGATGATGATGATGATGATGATGATATATATATATTATAGTATGTATGTATTATATATATTATGCAATATAATATATATATATTATATATATATGTATATACATTATATAATAGTTTTATTGCTGAAGGGAGATGTGAGATTCCCAAGAGACCACTCCCCCCCCCCCCACACACACACACACATAGTGTCCCAGGGGTTGAGGACGAGGTAGTGGAGCGTAATAAGAACATTTTGTCAGAGTTTTGTTAGAGTTTTCGTTCTTTTGCTCTTATTCCCCCAAGCAGTTCGTTTACTAATGAACCTACCATTGGTAGGTTTTATTCGAGGATAAGGCAAAGTAGAATTACAATGGGCTTTTATTTGTATTATCAATTATTCTCGAGCATTTGGTAATTACCTGTCTTTGATGAACTGATATCACCTACAACTAAAGGCGGCGATAAGGACTTTTGACCAAACTTCATTTCTACTGCCGTATTTAGTCCGTTAAGGCCGTGCTGAATCCTAAATAATCAAACTGTATATACAACCGTAATGTGTTTGTTAATTATAGACGTTATTTGCCTTAGAGTACTTATCTACAATGGACTAAGGAATGGATATTTTTGTCAACATAACTATGCTAATAAACAAACATGTATCCATTTAACATAAAAAATAATATATTTTACAAAATGAACACATCAAAATATTCAATATGAGAAAGAAATAAAAGTAAACCAGAGATTCATGACTAGGCGATTTTCTGGGGTTATGATATAACTACATTTTAGGAGAAACTATGATATTACTCCATTTGTATGAAACTTAGGAGATCTGAGATTATCAAAAAATCATGAAATACTGAATCTAGAAACATTATTGTCTGTGCTAGTAACATGCTGAGCTGATCTAATATTCCTACATGCTGAACTCAGAGGTTTATTTGAATTTTACCTTCTAGGTAAGCCCATATCAATATGATGATAAAAATAATCACGAAAACAACAGCAGCCAACCTCTTCTTCAGTTTCTCGTTTCCAACTCTCTTTCTTTTTCGCGCCTCCTTAGATTTCCTTTTGCTTTCGTCTGCATCCTCCAACCAGATGACAGCGTCTCCCGTAATGCCGTAATCTTTCAACTTCATCTCGTTCTGCATCTCGACGCCCCCCACCTTCAGTAACTGCCTGCCGATCACCGGGCCCCCCTCGCGCTCCACCTCTTGCTTGATGTCGATGACGCAGTCGTGATCACTAACCACTATCTTCATTACGTCTCCTGAGGGCTGTGCGACGGAGAGTAGAAACCCCGAAGAACCGAGACCCTGAAGTGCTTCTCTCAAATACAAGGTGTCGTTGTGTTTTATCCCATAGTCGGAGAGCTTTTTGGTTAGGTATAGCTGTTCGTTGAAGTACATGAGATCCTTTAATTTTAGAGATATTCCCTTTTGCATGATCTTAATCCTCAGGTCCCGGACCGTGTCTGATGGAGATGCTTTGACAGCCGTTGTCTTGGCGCTCGTTTCTCGAATGTAGATTATCATGGTCACTTTATTTATTTTCAAGGGCGCGATTCCAGCTGTAAGGAGGAAATTGAAATGCACTGATACAGAATCTGGTCAGACAAAACTGTGTTGATAAGTAAATCATCATTTTAAACAATTAGTTTTTGATTGACATTGGTTCGGGTTGTATTTTTTGCCTGTAATTCAAGCACACGTGGACATTCATCTTTGCATTTGATCCCAGAAAAATATTTCCTTCACCTATGGAATCAATGACATACGTTGTTTGCTTATAAACACCTAATGATAAAATCCACGTTTACTGCAGGATAATTGAACACCGCGAATTCAAGGTACCAGCAACCTGACAGCTTGAGAACTTTGTCAGCAATACATGACTACGCATTCTATTGCGTTATAGGTTTTGGTGTATATTCTATGTTGACATCAGATATGCCTAAGTTTGAATTAGATCAGAATTTATCAATGCATCAAACTGCTTCATCATCATACATCACATGTCTAAATGATTTAGTAGTGTAATTAATCTCCTATAAAATTACATAGGCGATTATCACACTTTTAAGAAACAATTGTGCTATAAATATCTGCATAATCCACAGAAAGATTACGTGATCAAACGTCTGTCGTGCAGCTTTTACATTCCAAAATATTATATAAATCACTTATTAACATAGAGAGAGAGAGGGGGGGGGTTGTAGAAAGAAATGTGCCTCAAGTTTTGCATTACTTCCAAGGTCACACAACTTCTCACATCTGAATATCAGTTTACAGCTGAATATACGTACGCTATTTGTAATGGAGAGAGAATCCACAGATATATTGAAGCAACTGCCAAGAGGAAGTATTTCACCTCAAAACTGCTAATCCGCTGCTTCTGCTTGCACTTCTGCTGCTTCAGTGGAAGAGCTGAGAAACAAATCAACTGTCTTTCTCCTAGGCATGAACAAGGGACATCCGGACTTTGGGCGTTACTGATAGGGCAACGGAATACCGCTGCCAGACGCAAAGGGTGGGGCGAAACTGTTGTACACATGTCTCCACACGGCGTTGTTAGCAGCACAGAACATAGGAAGAGGAAAACCCACAATGCAAAAAAATAGATTTATTGAGTACAATTTCGAAATCTAACTGGATTCCACCTTCAGTCCTGATGATGGAATCCAGGTGGATTTTGAAACTGTAGTCTCATTTTCATTAAATCTAGTTTTTGCACTGAGGGTTTTCTACTATAGTATCAACATTTTTTATATTGATAGGTATATTTATATATGCATATTAATATATATATATATACACAAACACATATACACATATATTTATAGATATGCATTTATTCATATATATGAACATATGTATATATACGATTATATATATATATATATATATATATATATATATATATATATAAATAGAAAATATATATATAAATGAATATATTTATATATATATATAAATGAATATATATGTATATGTATATATGTATATTTATACATATATGCTTATGTAACATATATATCTATATACAGTATATATATAACATATGTATATAATACATATAACATATATATAAATATATATGCATATATATATATTCATACATATACATATGTATATATTTAACACACACACACACACAATATATATATATATATATATATATATATATATATATATATATATATATACATATATATGTTATATATTTTTTTATAGATGTATATTTACTTTTTTATATGCTAAAACCGGATCTAAATAGTAAAAGAGTTAAACACAGTGGCTCTTGGGGGGGGGGGGGGGGCAAAACATGACATTTTGAAAATATTTAAAGGAGTGTGATGTTCGAAACCGATTTCGATAGGCGTATGAAAAATTATGAGGGGAGGCGCTTAGGGCTCGCGCATTTTCAACTGATTTCATGTTTTTCGTTGTTCTATTTGTAATTCGAAGATATTGATTACTAATAACTTGTATCTATTGTTATTCCCTAATGTAATATCAGTAAAACCGTTATTGACAATTCAATATAATTCAAAAATAAAATCAGATTCGTACACTTAAGCACGATTCCTAGGAATGGGGATGAAGTCGAACCTTTGGCACCAGCGCAGGAACAGTGGCAACGTCGCGACCGGCCCGGGGAATCTCACGAATGAGATTAGCGACATTTCGTAAGACCGTTTTGTCAGCGGAAATGAGGGCTTATGTTTGTTGTTTGATCTGTTATAGTTATAATATGGGCAATCTTGGCAAGTGATAGACATTAGTTTTTGTTTTTCATTGTTTAATTTGTTTATTGAAACCAAATTTAACTAGTATTAAAGCATAACCTACGTCTAGCCTAGAAAAACTGGCAGCTCAATCCGGATTCTGGATGATTTAGATCTGCCAAATCGATTTTGTAAAAAAAAAAAAAAAAAAAAAAAAAAAAATAATGGTGTAGAAGGCAACACGTTTTAGTAATATATAATCTGAATGGATACATAAAAATAAATAACTAAAATAAATAAACATACAGAAACACATATGTATATATATAGATATATGTATATATATAAATATATATATATATACATATATATATATATGTACATATATATATATATATATATATATATATATATATATATATATATATATATAAATATATATATATATATAGAGAGAGAGAGAGATCAGTCTATTTTATTGTACATAAGGTTTACCAAAACAAAAGAGAAACATAAATATTAAGCATTGCCTCAAATACGTCCATGGACATTTCGTTGACTTGTTCATGGCATGTCAGTGGTTTCTCTGCTTATGACGTCATCTTTCGTCTGCCACCCACTGTTAAATTCCTTTACTTTTTTATTAGATAGAGGTTGTAAAGAGTGAATCACTGAACTTTCAAGACGGTAGCATCTTGGGAAATGCTATTTGATGGTACCCTTAGCGTCTGTGCTTTGCTTACCTTTAATACCCTAAACACCCACTCATACCTTTTAACTTACAATTAGCCCAATCAACAAGCCCTTATTAATCCTTCACTAATGGAAGCCAAAATATCCACCAAGGAAGAGGTGTCGCCTCCTTTCTATTTTTCTCAATATACTTTTTTTTCAGGTGGCTGTTTACTCCTCACTTTTATCTCTCTCCTTATCCCAGGGAATCTCTCTCTCTTGCATTCGTCCATTTAAACCAAAGCATACTGATAGACTATATTTATCCTTCGGGACAAGTAGCAGTAGTTTCCAGGTTTTCCAGGTCATTATCTAATTTTATGCATAGGGAGGATGGATAGGACAGTCTCATTGGTTAATGAAAAAGAAAAAAAGAAAAGAAATGTCATCCGGTGTTAATCTGTAGGTCAAAACATAAGTTTCATCTTATTTTACTGTGGAAAATATGATTTGGATATGAGAGAGAGAATATGAGAGAGAGAGAGAGAGAATATGAGAGAGAGAGAGAATACGAGAGAGAGAGAATATGAGAGAGAATATAAAAGAGAGCGAGAGAATTTTAGAGAGAAAGAATATGAGAGAGAGGGAATATGAGAGAGAATATCTTTTGCTCTTATTCCCCAGACAGTTCGTTTACTTATGAACCTGCCTGTGGTAGGTTTTATTTGAGGATAAGGCAAAGAAGAATTACAATGGGCTTTTATATGTATTATCAATTATTCTCGAGCATTGGTAGTTACTGTCTTTGGTAACTTGATATCACCTACACTAAAGGCGGCGATAATATCAGGCAATAAATTAGTCATAAATCGGGTCCTTTAGCCATATAATATCATTAACCGTGTCGCTCTATGTGTATGTGTTGTCTTGTTTATCACTAGTGCATTTGTTGTTATAGAGACGTGGATAAACCATCTCGGTTTGACGGCGGTAAAAGTCCCATAAGTTTAAGCCTAGGATAAGGACTTTGGGCCACAAATTATTTCTACTGCGTATTTAGTCTGTTAAGGCCGTGCTGAATCCTAAATAATCAAACTGTATATATAATCATAATGGGTTTGTTAATTATAGACCTTATTTGCCTTAGAGTACTTATCTACAATAAACTGAGGACTGGATATTTATGTCAACATAACTATGCAAATATACAAACATGTATTCGTTAAAAATAATAAAAAAATATATTTTACAAGTGCACATATCAAACGTATTAATAGTATGAGAAATAAATAAAAGTAAACCAGAAATTCATGACTAGGCGATTTTCAGGGGTTATGATATAACTACATTTCAGGGGAAACTACGATATCACTACATATCTATGAAACTTAAAGAGATTTGAGATCATCAAAAAATTCATGAAATATTAAATCTAGAAACATTATTGTCTGTGCTAGTAACATGCTGAGCTGAGCTAATATTCCTACATGCTGAACTCAGAGGTTTATTTGAATTTTACCTTCTAGGTAAGCCCATATCAATATGATGATAAAAATAATCACGAAAACAACAGCAGCCAACCTCTTCTTCAGTTTCTCGTTTCCAACTCTCTTTCTTTTTCGCGCCTCCTTAGATTTCCTTTTGCTTTCGTCTGCATCCTCCAACCAGATGACAGCGTCTCCCGTAATGCCGTAATCTTTCAACTTCATCTCGTTCTGCATCTCGACGCCCCCCACCTTCAGTAACTGCCTGCCGATCACCGGGCCCCCCTCGCGCTCCACCTCTTGCTTGATGTCGATGACGCAGTCGTGATCACTAACCACTATCTTCATTACGTCTCCTGAGGGCTGTGCGACGGAGAGTAGAAACCCCGAAGAACCGAGATGCTGAAGTGCTTCTCTCAAATACAAGATGTCGTTGTGTTTTATCCCATAGTCGGAGAGCTTTTTGGATAGGTATAGCTGTTCGTTGAAGTACATGAGATCCTTTAATTTTAGAGATATTCCCTTTTGCATGATCTTAATCCTCAGATCCCGGACCGTGTCTGATGGAGATGCTTTGACAGCCGTTGTCTTGGCGCTCGTTTCTCGAATGTAGATTATCATGGTCACTTTATTCATTTTCAAGGGCGCGATTCCAGCTGTAAGGAGGAAATTGAAATGCACTGATACAGAATCTGGTCAGACAAAACTGTGTTGATAAGTAAATCATCATTTTAAATAATTAGTTTTTGATTGACATTGGTTCGGGTTGTATTTTTTGCCTGTAATTCAAGCACACGTGGACATTCATCTTTGCATTTGATCCCAGAAAAATATTTCCTTCACCTATGGAATCAATGACATACGTTGTTTGCTTATAAACACCTAATGATAAAATCCACGTTTACTGCAGGATAATTGAACACAGCGAATTCAAGGTACCAGCAACCAGACAGCTTGAGAACTTTGTCAGCAATACATGACTACGCATTCTATTGCGTTATAGGTTTTGGTGTATATTCTATGTTGACATCAGATATGCCTAATTTTGAATTAGATCAGAATTTATCAATCAATCAAACTGCTACATCATCATACATCACATGTCTAAATGATTTAGTAGTGTAATTAATCTCCTATAAAATTACATAGGCGATTATCACACTTTTAAGAAACAATTGTGATATAAATATCTGCATAATCCACAGAAAGATTACGTGATCAAACGTCTGTCGTGCAGCTTTTACATTCCAAAATATTATATAAATCACTTATTAACATAGAGAGATAGAGAGGGGGGGGGGGTTTGTAGAAAGAAATGTGCCTCAAGTTTTGCATTACTTCCAAGGTCACACAACTTCTCACATCTGAATATCAGTTTACAGCTGAATATACGTACACTATTTGTAATGGAGAGAATCCACAGATATATTGGAGTAACTGCCAAGAGGAAATATTTCACCTCAAAACTGCCAATCCGCTGCTTCTTCTGCTTGCACTTCTGCTGCTTCAGTGGAAGAGCTGAGAAACAAATCAACTGCCTTTATCTTAGGCATGAACAAGGGACATCCGGACTACTGATTGGGCAACGGAA